CCTTAAACCCGGGACGAGTGTTTTTTGGTTGTTGCCGAATAGACCTCAAAAGTGGCACATAAAATCCGCCTGAAGTCTACTGACAATGAACACGCTTTTCCCCGGGTCCACCTCACTAGTTCTCGCTGGCGATCCACGCGAAACCTGACGACTCTCAGAGTGTTTAATGTAAGGGCCTTAGTAATTCATAGGGCTTCGGGGCCGGATATGTACTGTAACTGTAATAAGGAACCCCCAAAATAGATAGGTAATTATTTAGGCCCCTATAGTAGGGCTTTTAGGGTTTAGAGTAGGGGATGACGGACACCCTGTCTGGAAGCAAAAATACATGCGTACATATATGCTTACAGAAGCACACGCATCCATACCAGACAGGCACACATGCATAAATGCATACATATGTGTGTATACAGCCTTCTTCATCTACTATTGACGTGCTTATTTGCGTAGGCACGCATTTGCTATTGCCGCTCTTCCACGGAGGGAGCGCGAGAGAGAGAGAGAGAGAGAGAGAAACAACATACAATAAAAAGAGACAAGGTAGATAAGTACAATGATGCTAAACCCTAAACCCAAGGTAGATAAGTACTATGATGGTTCAATGACACATGGGCTCACATCGAACATGGACTCTCAGGATCTCTTGAGCTAATTAAGCATCTTACTTTGAGCCGCAGCTTTGTGTTTATGCTTGTGATGGTCACTGTCACGGCTCACTATGCTTGAGTACTGCTGTAAACAAGAATATTCTGACTATTATGAGAAGTTGTTGTTCCTGTTCTGGAACAAGCTGATCATGGTTATCAACCGTTTAATGGCTCTCAAGACAATTATAACTATAACAACAACCGTGAAACAGAACAGACCGAAACACACCCTACACCCTAAACACCACATAGGAGTTAGGATTAGGGCGATTATAGGGGACCCTTGAGGATATAGACCCTCTCAATATGGTCCCCTTAAAAAGAGGGACAGAAGTAGGGTTCAGAAGGGTCCCCTTCAAGGGGACTGCCTACTACTACCTCGGACCCTCAGGAGACCATGAGCCTCTCTCTGAACCCAAGGCTCCCCCAATACAGTTGTAAGTTATAACGACAACCGTGAAGCAGAATAGACCGAAAGACACCCTCAACCCTAAACCCCCTAAGCAGAACATGAGCCTCTCTCTGAACCCAAGCTCTCAAGCCCTTAACCCTCTGAGACCTCGGCACGGTCTGATTGTGAGTGCAGTCGCCGCTCCAAATCCGGGGAGACGTACACATCCTTTCAAATACTTTTTGTTGCAAACACGGTTTAGGGTTTAGGGTTGAGAACTTTTACGATGTTCGTCTTCTTGAGCCCTAAGCCGTGCACCGCCAGCCTCAAAGCGTGAAGCCCGGAAGTGACAAAGGCTATTCTCGAGTTGACTCGGGTTTCTAGGGACCCAAAAAGGCACATAAGCATAAGGATTTTCTGGGGATATCCCTACCTTATGGGCTTCCTTTTTAAAGGGGGTTTAGTATGGGACATCCCTATCCTAATTTTTGCTTATGTGCTTTTTTGGGGGCCCTAGTTTCAGTCTCTCGAGCTCGGGATAGATACAGGACCGTGAGCTCATTAAAAGACATGCTGTCTGTGTTTAGCCTGTTGCATCGTCTTCCATTGCGCCTGCCAGTGCATGTAGATTTATCACACCTGCAGTGAGTAACAATGTTGACATGGCTGGACCCTGAAATAAAGCCTTCAGAATGCAACCAACCCTCGGGTGAATGCTTGAAGCTGGCTTCTGATGCTGATTGCATGCATCGGATCTGGATGATCTTGAAGTTTGACGACTTGTTCTTGGTTGCTAGCACGCTGAAAACCTTCCTTTCCACAGCCTTTGGACAACACCTGTGCAGTAGGCGCCTCACACATGAAAGGATGAGTCGTGACCCCATCTGCCAGTTGTAGTTCAGGATGTGGGGTCGAGGGCTTCTAGGGTCTGGGTTGAGGGTTTAACGGTTGAGAGTTTGATGGTCGATGTGCTGTCATCTGCAGCGATGGCCTGTGCATGCGGACCTGGTCGCGGCGTCAACGCCTCCAAGCTGTCATGGGAATTGGAAACATGTGAGCGCCTTCTACAATGCTGGCTTCCGGCTTTCGGGCTTTTAAGTTTAAGATTTAGACACCCGGCCGGAAACCCTAAACCCTTATTCCCTCATTTAGCGGCCGATTACACAGACACATACAAAAATGTGCCAGGGATTTCATGCACCACAGCTTTTTGTTGCGTAGGATGTTCAGCTTTAGCTTTGCTTGAATTGGGGCTTCGGGCTTCAATTTTTTCGGGTTCGCAGGGTGTGGGGTGCACAAGTGACACACTCCAAGCAATGTGGAGAGTCAGTGGATAGTACTTCAATGAGATTACCACCGAAAAACTTCAGAGGTAAGTGCACGCACACACACACACACATGTACCGTAGCCAGGCATACTTTGCAGCAAGCAGTCGCAGCAGCGAACGTGCACATACATACCTAATTACATATATTTATATACATACATATACACACCTATACAATACAGATACACCAATATGTCGATCGATCGCACCGTCGACATCATAAGTTATAGCAGATTCGCCCGGTGGGCCATGTGCGCCGAGATGGATAGGTGTGGTGCAGTGCAGGGCTGAGTATTGGGCGGTTAGGATGTGGAGCAGCATATGAACTGAAGTTCTCAGCAACAGACGACAATTCGCTCGCGAGATTTGCGGGTCACTCTCTTCAAGACCTCACTAGTCCCAGTTGACCGAAAACAAGACGTTCTGCAGATGGGAACACCTCAACCCCCAAACCCAACACCCCTACACCCTAAACTTGAACCTTGAACCCAATCCCCCAAAGCCCAACCCCTCAACCCCAAACTCCAAGCTTTCAAAGCCCCTCCGAGTTCCGCGCGCGGCCCAGGCTTTGGCGCGAGGGGCTTGGTGGCAGAAGCGGTCTCGAAGCACCGGATTGCCGGACCATCGTCTGGCAGAGCCACTGGTGCTTAGTTACCAATACTATTTTGTTTGGGGTTTAATTATTATAAGTAATTATAAGTTTAGTATATTGGGCCCCAAAAGCCTCTTCTGATTATTCAGGCCCCTGTGTTGTGTGTGTGTGTGTTCTTCACTGTCTGTGGGCGGGTGGTGCTGTGCGGGGAGGGTTTTAGGTTTGTTTTGCTCTCCAGGGTTTAAGGGCTGGGAGTTCGGCCTTTGGGCGGAGTCTAGGCGTTGCAAGTAATTGCAGATACGGCAAAGTAGAACAACGAACCGCGCCCAACAGAAACACCAGCAGAAAGAACAAGCTGCGAGCATCTATACATAATGATGCCTGGGCCAGACTGCAAACGAATAATGAAAGACTGGTGTTGTTGCACAATCATAGCTGTGTTGGTCCTTCTAATTGTTTGTCTCGATTGCGGAAATGTACAAGTCAATGATTCTTTCGCAAGGAACCAGAACGTCGATTTAGCAGCAGCCTTGACAGGAACACTTACCTTAGTAGGGAATGGAAGAATGGTAGTACTAGTAGTTATAATTGTACCCCATTCCTCCATTCCCTACTAACCATAGGTAAGCAAAACCAAGAGCCATGCCTCGTATTGGTTTTTCAGGTCGCTGACACGCCTCGTGCAGCACAAATGCTGCTGAGTGCATGCATCCCCACGTCGACAGAAAAATGCAGGCACTGATCTGATCATGTCGAAGATGATCAATCATGATCGCAAAAGATGACAGAAACGCAAGGCAGTGCCAAGCCAAGCCCCGCAAATCCAGTCGAGGGCTGAGATAAGGAAAGCGTGGGGTTTTAGAACAATCCTACGATTCCAACTCGGGCGGCTCCGGCAGCCGAGCTGGAGCGTTGGCCTCCATCTACCCCTGACATTCTAGATCCCGAACCTTAAGGATCCTTACTTTCAGGTTCATGGGCAGCTATAAGTGGGGTTATAGGTAGGGTAGCTATACTTATCACCCATATCAACTAGGGGACTTATAACCTCACTTATAACTGCCCATGAACCACCAAGTAAACCTTTATTCTTACGGCCCAAACCCTATAGTCGTCCACATCCTGAGTGTCTGACCCTGCAGACACCCGCGCTGAGGGTCTGGGTGGCCGAAGCACCTTCAAGCAGCTCTGCCAAGTTCCATAACGGCCCTTCAGGGCTTCTGATAAGCGATACTTTGTGCACGACTCAAGAAATCTGATAAACTCTGAAGTGTTGTCGTGACGATTGTCGGTGTTGCGGTTGTTGTCACTGCTGTTGTGTCACTGCCACAACTCACTGCATGGGCATCATTGCTACCAGATTGCGATTGCGAGTTCAGGTGTCTCTCGGTGCCGAAGCTGTCACACTAGGAAGACCTCGTGATGACTATGATGACGATGATGATGATGGTGACAACGACGATGATGATGATGATGTGATACCAGTGATGGCGATGGAACGCTGATGGTGACGGCTGTCATGAATCTTATGCTGCCTTGTTCCGAGCATATTTAGTATTGCCACGGGTACTCTTTCTGCTGTTGGCAGCAGGAGGAGGTGGAGGAGCGGGCGAGCTTAGCGGTGTTGCAGTTGCCGTAGCAGCGAAGCTCAATGGCCTAAGCCTGAGCCCCTAAACCCCTAAAAACCTTAACCCCTAAAAAAAACCTCCACCTAAACCTCGAACTCCCAAGCACGACCTAAACCAACCCTGCATAAACCGCATGTAGACAATGTCAAAGTGTAAACCCTGCATACAAAACTGCACCCTACACCCCTAAAGCCCTCGATCCCAAACCCTAAACACCCTAAACGTGAGGCTCTGAAGAGCCCACACAATCACTCCGGTGGGGACTCGACGACGAGGCCACCGCTTTGACACTGGATAGCTACTGTACCGCTCGCGGAGGCAGCCCTTCCATATTCCCCACCATTCGGTGGCTGGAATTCCCTCTGTTGTCATTTTGGCACAGACTGGGTTACACTTTTTGGTCATTCGGTGTGAATGAACAAGGCCCTCGCCCTGGCTTTCGCTGCTTTTCTCTGGAATTGTGGCGAGGCAGCCAGCGAGGGGCCCCGAGCCAGCCTGGCACCGTCGTGCCCGGCGCGCGAGGACCAGGTCGCGCACAATTTTGAGAACATTTACGTCGGGTGTCCGTATAGACCCGGCGCTTGTACGCAAAGCAGCAGCGAGGCTTCGGGGACACCACTCCCGATCGGCCCTACCAACTGCAGCGGATCGACTACTTGGATCTACACCGACAACCATGGGAGATTCATACCAGCAGCCCCGAGCGCAGGGATGGTGGTGCACTATATGCAGGCAGTTTGCAAAACATTCTGCCAAGTTTTGCCCCACGTGTGGCACAGCCTGGGCTCAGGCGACCTACGATGCGGGCTGGAAGGACGACAAGAATCGAGGGTGGCAGCAAGACTACGAGCAATGGCCACGCTCCCCCCGCGGATGGTCGCCCAGAAGCAGGAGTCGCAAAGGGCCCAAGGGCAAGAAGGACTCCAGTGGAAAGACAACACAGCCTGCCGGGAAAGGTCCAGGCGAGAGACGACCAGACCGTGCCCCACAGGTTCCAACGGTGGATCAGATTCCCAAGCCACCGCAATCCAAAATTATACCGGCGCCCAAGGAACAGGCAGCCGGATCCGTGGAGGCAAGTGCAGAGCGAAAGGCTCTAGAGACCCTCCTGGACCACTTGGGCAGCCAAGCAGACATCCCGGACAGTGTGCGAGCCGTGATGGCACAAATCAACCAGAGCTCGGCCCGCAGCGAGGCGAAGAATCTTCACAGATTGGTGGCACAGCGACAAGAGGCCACCGCGACCCTCGAGAAGATAAAGGCAAACCGGGCATCATTCGATGCCGGGTGGGCCGTATATACCCAAGGGCTCATGGATCTGTTGAGCAAGCAGTTTCAGGAACGCGAGGAGGCCCTCAATGCCATGAACGAGTCGTTCGCGAGCTGGGCGCAGCGCCTGGCCGAAGCTTCAAGAGCCTTGAAGACTGCGACCAACCACGGAGATGGAGACAGCAGTGGTGCTCAGATGATTGCAGACAGCGACGACGAGGACGACGATGGCATGGAAGCGGAGCTGGACAAGAATGCTCAAGAGACAGCCCGCATGGAGACAAAGCGACAAGCACTCAGGGAACAGCATCAAAATTTGGCTGCGGCCCTGGCGGCAGTACGAGACTCAGCCTCGGAGACAGCAGTCAAGTCCGAGCCCCGCGAACGGACTCCGAGGAGAAAGAAGGATCAAGCCAGAGAGGCAGGCGATACCACCGGTGCTGGTGGCAAGCCTGCCGATTCGGAACAGCAGCCTTTTGCATAGGCTCACCGGCGTGCCTCTTCAGGGACGGTGAGCCTAGAGCATTAGAGCACTGGAGCCATTCGGTGATGTCGGAGCCAGACTTCGTCGATGCTTACAGTGCACAGTGGTTAGCCCTGCAGCTTAGATATGACGTGAGCTGCAGACCATTCGACAACATGCAGACGTGGTGGCAGGACCCGAGAATCTGCACCTTCGAAAGTCATGAAGCCTGGGGCTGTAGCGAACCGACCAGTTGCTTAGAGGGCCGGGCTGTTCGTTCCGATGACTCTGGGGCCCTGTTGCACATGGCCCGGTCGCACAGTGGTACTCATCGAGAGTCGGGACATCAGCAGGGCCTTCTCAGCAACTGTTGTCGTGTCGCTGCTTCCCCGGATGATGCACCTGAAGCGGACAGCGTGTACAGTTGGACTAGAAAATCCTGTACAGCACGGCAGCCTGACACTAGCCCTTGCCAACAATCCACCTGCAAGTGCTTGACACCAAATGTCGAAGCCCTGTCGCAGCATGTGCCGCACGAAGCGAGCACTGCACCTCCGACCCTCAGTGCCGTTGCCAATTTTTGTCCTCGCGCTGGGGTTTACCAAGCCACTGGCCCTCGCCTTTGCAACGTTTTTGCCCAGACAGGATCGATTGCACCTAAGCCAAGCTGCCTGCACACGAGCAGGCACATTTCCCCTTTGCGAGTACATTTTGGGGATGCTGCAGTCGCGGCGAGCAACAGCAGTGCCAGGTATGTGCAGGCCAGGTCCACGATGCGGCCTCCAGGAGAGGTTACCCCTCCCCGACCAAAGGCGACTACGGCCCTGACTCGCAGCCCAGGCCAAATTGCTCTCATAAGAGCCGAGTCCCTCAATGTTTTTCCGCCTGACCTCCGAGCACCGCCTGTTTTCACATCGCCTGCATATCTTTTCTCCTGGGGAAGTACTGCAGGGGCGGCACCCGGCAGGTTCACAGTGTTCGATCATGTTCGGCACGTCACCACTGAAAGATGTCTGCCAGCTTCTAGTCTGGTTGACATGGTTGCTCTTGCTCTTTCAGGCTTGCCATTTACGGCTAGTGGGGTTATCATCCTGACCCATGTGCTGCCGGGGCTGCCGCTGCCACAGATCGTTTTTATTGAGCAAGGTCGCCCACCTACTGAACTTCCCCTGCCGTGGGATCTGCGAGGAATTGGGGAACGGGTGATCACTCTCCGGCACCACAGTGGCGAGCCGAGGGCACAGGCTTTACAGCTAGTGCAACCACATATTCAACAGCCGATCCTCGTCCACAATGAAGTCGAAGCAGGGCGCATGCATGTTCAAGACGCCCTCGGACCGGTCCAGCAGGATCTCCATGTGAATCTGCATGCAGCCCAGCATTTTCGTGTCTCTCGCACTGAGGAATTGAGGATCGAAGTCTGGGACTTCAGTGAAATTCAAGATGTCAGCCTCACCTTTGGAAGCGGGGCCACCACCACCACATCCACGACTGAGGTCCGGGTGACACCTGCCATTGTTCAGTATCCCGCCTGTAGACTTGTGGTTCTTAGGGGGAACGTGGGCTATGCTTGTGTACTCTCGGGACAGACACAGCTTGTTGACGTTGCACTATGGAGGTTGTTGCAGCGACACGGACAGGATGCCCCCATTGACGAGGAAGCACGCATTGTGCTGGCCTCGGCCCAACCTACCAGGCAAGGCCCCTTTCAGGATGTCATCTGCATTCTGCTCGAAGCCTCCGAAGGGGTCACCATCCTGTGGGATGGCCGGGCGCATCGCAGCACTGTTCAAACCAGTGAATATAGTGAGTTTCAACGTGCACAGCTAGTCCTGCCGCCAGACTGGCAGGAGAATGGTTGGCGAGTCGCAATCAATGGCATCCCCGATGCCCACATGCCCAGGAACCTTAGGGACGGCGACCTTGTGGTTCCACATAGGCTAGGGGTCCCTCCTGCGGTGGTGCCTCTTGGGTGGCCTCTCGCGCACTTCCCGCTCCTCCGGCCTTTTGCGTTTCCTATTCAGGTCACAGCAAGCGAGCGCAGCTTCTTCGGGGGCTGAGGCACAGACGTCAGCAAATGGGGGCACACTTGCCGCAGGAAGGGCTGATCGTTGTTTATGGTCCGACACATGGAGAGCTCCATCTCTCTACTGGTGTTCACGCTGTGCCCACTTTGGAGCAAGCGGTAAATGCTGTCAGGAGAGTGCAGGGCCTACCAGCTGCCCTGGACTATACCGTCGCTCCTCGCGCGACCACCAACTCAGTGACCTTGGTTAGCTCGAGCCCGGGCAGCACTCTACACACAATCCTGATACCTGCACCGGGGTACCCTTCGCAATTCCTGCCTGTCATGATACCCTCCCATACGCGCAATCTGCATGGGGTTCCGGCGGATGCGGGGGTCGCACTAGTCCCACAGCGTGGCCTTGCCAGAGGAGACCTGTTGCTTGCACGTGCATCTAATGCCGGTTTCTTTGCAGAGTCGGACAGCTCCGAAGACGACCCCATGGCCACCAATTTGTTGCAGATCAAGGCTTCTAAGGTCCCAGGCCAGGATGTAGATGGAGATGCCCTTGCCGCGGGGCTCCCCCGCTCAGTTGCCACGCCCTTTGGGCGGCGAAGCATTCCGATGATTAAGGGTCGCGGTCAGACCCAGGCCAAGGAGCGTACTGTCGTTGAAACACAGGACAGGCCCCGGGTTGCCGTTGACCTCTGTGCCTGTCTACCCCCTGCGAGCCCCTCACCAGTGCAGCTGACAGAAGGGGGACGATGCACGGACCTTCGTGTTGGTGTTACTCCCGACATGTTTGATTTCGTGTTTTCGGCCTTCGGCCTTGAGCTTTTTGATCTCGACTGGCATGACATCCCCGGCCTGCCAGAATGCTCAGCGGCTTTTGTCACGCACTTGCCACGAATTGATAGGGCGAGACCTCTCGAGGCCATTCAGCTCTACGTTGATGGTTCCTACTTCCCCGATAAGGGAGAGGGTGCTTGTGCTGGATGGGCTATTATTGCCCTCGGCTTACAGGATGATTGCTGGGGATGGATCGGGATTTGTGCTGCTGGTGCTCCGGTTGAGGGTTCCCCGCTGACGCTTGGGACTGCAGTCGGATCTTGTTTCGAAGTCGAGCTCGCGGCTATCGGTCATGCCCTTGCCGTTGCTGTTGCCCTGCCTATTCCCACACTCATCGGATATGATGCCACCTCAGCGGGTGATTTGGCACAGGGCTTTGCTACAGCTGCCGTGCAAAGCTCGCTGTCCGATGCTATTGTGTCACTTACACACTTGCTTGATATGCTTCGGCGCCGGCCGCATTTTCTTCATATCAGGTCGCATCAGCAGCACCCTCTCAACGAATTGGCAGATCAAGCAGCTAAATCAGCAGCCCGTGGATGCATAGGCAGCAAGACGCCTGCTACCCTTTCTGATGCTGCCCGAGATGGGGTTCTCAGTTGGCTTTGGGTTGCCATTGGAGCATGCCCATCGATCCCGGCACTCGGGGTTGGCGGCAACCTTGTTGACACCGTTCCTGGAGAGACAGGCCCTTCTCTTGCCAGTATGCTTGGTGAGCCCCCGACTCAAGGCGAGATTGAGCTTGCATTCCGTGTCTGCACCTACAACTGTCTGTCTGTTGCAGCTCACTCTCAGAAAGAATCTCTTGGGCAGCAGTTCCGCCGCCTCAAAGTCAGCATAATCGGCCTACAAGAAACCCGATGCCCATGTGAACCACGGCAGCACCTACCTGATTTCCACGTCCTTGGCAGTGAGGCAAGCCAAGGTCAGCTCGGATGCCAAGTGTGGTTCTCCAAGACGGTACCGATCGGGAGCTTGCATGGAAAACCTGTGTTCTGGGACCCCACAGGTTTCAGTGTTGTGGTTCGTCGGCCCAGAATGCTCCTTGTGCTGGCAAAGGTTGGTTGTTTTAAAATCGCGGTCCTTAGTGCCCACGCGCCCACTGCCAAGGCGCCGGTTTGCGAGCGGAAAGCCTGGTGGGCTGAGCTACACCAGACATTTGCCAAGATGCCGTGCAACTGTGTGCCGGTAGTCTTGATTGATGCCAACGCCAGACTTGCCTGTCCCCCAAGCCAAGGATCCGACAATCCTAGCTTGCTGCGGGACTTCATGCGCCGCCATGAGCTACTGGCATCAGACTGCAAAGACCACGAGGGGAAGGAACACACCACCTGGGTCAGTCCCGGAGGCACTGGAGCTTGCATTGATTACGTGCTGTTTCCCCAGTCCCTGAGGGAGGCCACACGATCACTGGGCCCCATCTCCGACTTTGAAGGGCTTGTCGACCATGATCATAGGCCAGTCTGGGTTGAGTTTGCCATGCGGCAGAAAGTCTCGCGCGCCACCCGTCTGCCGCGTTTAGACTACCAGCACTTGCGTACGCCACAAGGGCGCCGAGATCTCAACCGACTGCTTTGCGACATGCCTGCGGTGGCCTGGAATACCGGGGTGGACAAACATCTCGAGGCCATCAACTCCCACATTCGCACAGGCCTCACGCAGATTTGTCCTCAGATTACACACAGTGCTCGGAGGCCGGTCACGTCTGAAGCGACCTGGTTGCATATCCAACACCGACGTGAGTTGCGCCGCCAATGCCACCACTTCCGCTCGCTTTCTCAGCGAGCTCTACTCAGTGATTGTTTCCAATCCTGGCGGCGGGGGCACCGAGTTGTCGATGTCGACACACATCTGCAAGGCCTTCATTTAGGCCTCTTGAGCCTTCAGATCGGAGCGGCCAGCCGCCAAATTACGCGTCTAGCCAAACAGGACGCTGCGGCCGCATCCCGCCATCTCTTTCAGGAGGCACGCAAGCAAGGCCCTGAGAGCCTTTTCAGGCTATTCCGCGGAGTAATGAAGGCGGGTCGGGGATACAAGCGGCCCAATCTTGCACCAGCGTTGCTACAGCAAGATGGGAAGGTCGCGCTTGACTCGCAAGCCATTCTTGGACAACATTTCGCCTCTGCTGAGCGCGCCACTCCGGCGCAAGCAGAGGACATTACTACGA